GGGGGGAGGGAGGTACTTGGGGGTGTGTTGTGTGAGTATCTTGTATGTATATGTACATACTTGTGAGGTTATAGGGATTGTTTATGGAGGGGTTTTGGTTTTGTATATCACATATGGATTATGGGGATTTACGTTTGTCACACGGGTGATACATGGGGAATTTCGAAATGCTCTTTTTCGGTCATTTTTGGGGGTTTGTGGGAGCCTTGATTGGCTTGTTTGGTAATTGGCTCTTCAGGTCCCAAAAAACTTCCTATTCTGTTCCTCCTAAATAATTCTTGTTTTCGTAAGTACCTGGTCCGACTGGTCGTTACTCTGTACACACTTTATAAAACTCTATTATACTGAAGTTGTAGTACAATCAAGATAATTGTCTTAGGATACCTAGGCCAGTGAAAAGTAAGACCTAACAATTGTTCAAGCTCTTTATATAACTATTTTAGTTGTGCGACGTTTTTGGACTAATTTTATTAGGAGAGGTGTGTACAGAGTAACGACCGTGTCTCTTACCTTTTAAATTACTGTTCAAAACAGCGTCTCCTTCGTACAAAATCGGGAGTTGTTTTTAAGGACCCGGAGAGGTTGGTTTATTTCCATGGCCAAGAGTTGGGAGATTGGGGATTGTGTTTTGCTATTATTGTGGGATTCTATGGAAGTTTACAAGGTCTTTATGGGGATTTCCGAGATGATGGGTTGGTTGTTTGGATATTTGCCATATTTGGAGAGGGAAAGAAAGGTTGGTTACTGTATGAACTACTATTAGATGGAATGAAATGGGTTTCCCTTAGAATCCTATATCCACTCACCTGGTTCTCTTTTTTCGGCAAATAGTGTGCTCCGTTGCTACTCTACCATACCGTAGAGTATTTCTCCCTAGAATCCTCTGTCGGCTCATTTGAGATGTGTGGGTGTGGCGCAGACTCTTGGTCCGAATCTGGGGAACTTTCAAACGGTGATCCTGAATATGGACATGGAGATGGATATGGCTCTTTGGGGCAATTAGTACGCTACGTGAGGTCGTCTGAATTGCCGAAGTGGTTAGTATTGTGGTTTGGGGATTCTTGACGGGCATCCTACGAACGTTTCTGGGAATTGCGGCAATCCTAAACGGCTATATCTGGCGATTTATATGCAGGTAGGAGATTCATGTTAATCCCAAACCGCTGCTTTTGGACATTATGATGACACAGCAGACGAGATGCAGAATGAAGGGTCTCGGTTGGTTCCTAATGAGGTTATAACTGACGGTAATACGGACTCGAAGCATCGCTTGCCTCTGCCCAGACTTTGGATGCAGGTGCAATCCCAAACGTGCTTTCTACGAAGTACCCCTGCCGATCTTCACTGTTCCCGGTAGATGTGATGTTCAGATGCAAGTAATCGAAGTAAGTCATTCAGCCCCAGTCTACCTACCGTAGCCGCGCCGCTGAGATTCCCGGCGTATACGCAACCACTAGGTATAGAGTCTCGTCATGGAAACAAAAATGCCGGAGTCGGATATCCTGAGCAACTGAAATGGTCATTCATATGTTCAAAAATACGTATATGTATTGAATCAATCCATTCCGAATCGTGGTTAATTGCTTAATTTGACCTGCAGAAGTGGGAAAATGAGCAAGCAGACGGGAGAGTATATTTACCACAAGATTACGGTCACATGTATGAATTTCTCTGCAAAATTCCCCATGGATTTAAGCCCCCTTTCTGCTGAGTTACTTGAGAACTTGCTGGCTACGCCTCCTCTCCCCTGGTAGTGCGTGTGAGAAGTGTGCGTGTCCATGGATTTCATTGTGCTGACGGGCTTGGTGACCCCTCCAGCTCCTTCTACCCTCCCCCCTTTTCTGCTGGTTCGGTACATGCCTCGCCTGTTTCACGGCAACTTTGTAATTCTTCGACCAGTGGTCCAGGTAGGTTTCCTAATTGCCGTTCAATGGAACATGTAGAAACGCATAAGTATTCTGGCCTCAGGAAGATTTCAGGTTGGAAGAAAAAAAACCTAGCGTCAAAAAACCCCAATCGGCGACTTCAACCTCTTGATTCTCCATTTCTCGCCCACCTTCAAACATCTCCATCGTCATTTCCGCTCCCCAACCCCAACTTCATAGGTGATTAGCGATCAGGGCAATGATGGATCATAGACACCGATCGCTCACTCTGCTCTCCCCCACCTCCTCGTTCGCCGTGTCCGAGGCAGCGTCAGCAAAGCAATCATTCAACCGCTCCGGGACTGTCAAGCCGCCTTCCACGCCCATGATGATCGTGGAATTCCCTGGAACGGATCCGTCACTCGACGTGTACGGAGCTCTTTTGGCCCCATCGCATGCCTTTTCATAATAGATGATGATGTCTATATGCTCTGGGGTATTTCGTATAACTCCGGGATCATTTCACGATCCCAAACATCGTTTGCGATCCTCCCGGACCGCAGACGTCGTTTGAGACGTCGGACCTTGGCTTGGGTACCAAGTAGCTCCTTCCATGGTGCCCTGGCCTGGTATGGCAGTGGCAGCTGGCGATGGGTGTGGAAAAAGTCCCGGCGTTTGGGAAGCCAACAGGGCTGATAGGGCTCGAGCTTGGGCGCCAGCAAAGGGAGGGGAAGGGGAAGGGTACCGGTACGAGTACTGTAAGCGACAAGCAAGCGGGGGTATGTTGAACGACATAGAACATTTTGACAGCTACAACACCCAACACCCCGCACTGCCATGTTCCCCGACTACAGTATCACCACCAGCCTCATTTGTCTCGCTCTCTCGCCACTCAAAAACACTTCCACTTCTACCGTATCCTGGCTCCCGCTCCAGCTCTTCTTTCTTTGCGCAACACACCAACACCACTACCATTCAAAAGCCTCTCACTGCTACACTACCAGCAGCCTGCACCACCTCCAAACTTTGCAGGGCCACCCACGTAACTGCATGCAGAGTGAAAGATCTCACACCGATTCATTACGGGACCCTTCATCACTGAACCTTCTCGCGGCACTCACCAGCACAGCCGTCTAATGGCCCCTTGCAGCACTCCTGGCGCTTGTTTTGGGGGGGCAGAATCTGTAAATGGCCCCCAATTCATGTCTGTTGGCCCCCACACAAAGCTCTTGGAGTCGGTGTGGTGACCTTGGTCCCCTCTGTAGGAGCAGCAGCCTAGTCGAGAATGGATCTGACATTGAGTGATGGTGACACTTCTCTCCACTGCCGTTGTTCGTGATGGCCGAGGCGGAGGAAAAGGATTCGTCTCTTATTAATATGCCGTTACATCGCAATTTGACCCTTCCTTTCATACGGTTTCTCCCTTTCTATATCAGGTACCCGAGACAGCCCTCGAGGCACGGTCTCCCCGCGAACTTATCTCACAATCAAATCATCAAGCATTTTTGGGGGGTGGGGTTTTTTGTTATCACAGTGCATTTTTCCACTTGACCCAAATGTTTTGTTTCCTTTTGGCTTATTGTTAAAGATTGAATACCCTTCTACGTGACATCCTTAGCTGTCTTAAGATGTTTGGTTGTTTGAGAGAGAGCGAGCCAACCTGCGACTATATTACCGCGCCTACTACTCGTCCTAGCACCGCATATCATTGTGGCGACAAGTAAGTCGTCCACAGGCTCTTGCTCATTGGCTTTTCTCCCACTTCCCCTCCATGCTTGGTTTGGGTTCCTATCTACTGTGCCCCCTCCTCTGATTGTGGCTCTCTTGTTCCTTCCCATTGGTATATAAATCATAAGCTGACCTGGTTCTAAAGAAAGCAAAGGCACAGTGTAAGTCAAACATATAACCCGTCCACCAGGAAGACCTTCCGAGACGGTTCCTTCTTCTTCGCCGCTTCGGAATCAGCCTTCTCCACAAACGAAGCTGCCTCCATATTTTGTGCATACATTGCTTGGACTGAATCACTTCACCGAATCGTCAAACAATACATTGCCCGAAACGCCAGGGCGTCAATACCAACAAAGCCGCTTGATTTGCCTCTTGTCGAGGCCGATTACCTACTTCTTGACCAACAACCTGAAGCACCAACGCCAGGGCAACGACTTCGCGAAAACACCTGCAGACTAGGCGCTCTGTTTGGATCGGGCTGGTTCTTTGAATGGCCAGGAGGGAAACGACCATTGAACTCAACATGGCCATGGGCTGATGTGAAGCCCTCGCTCTTAGTTTTATGGGGTGTTTGCTGGATGTTTGTCATTCCCACCTTTGAAGTTACTTCATACCAAGTACCCGATCGCAACCGAAACAATCTTGGGGGAATGCCATCACGTAATACCGACCAGTACTATTTTACTCCATCAGGTACGTGCCGAAATCCGTTGTGTTTATTTATGTAAGAGGGCGGGCATTGTTTTTTGGCTTTGGACTCCATATCTTATTGTGCCAGATACTACAAGAGCATTGTGGACGTTTTCGAAAAGATTTAGAAGAATCAGGGAACTGAGTTTTCAATTCGTCTAAATTTACTGAGACAATAGTTCCAATTGCCAGAAAAGTTTGCTTGGTTCTTTGGAAGGTCGGTGCCTGAGAACCACCAGCTCTCTTACTTGGATGCCTGGAAGGAAGTCTGGCAGTCTCACTCTTATATTGGCGAAAGGAGGGAATCGATGAGAGGCTGAGGAGAGAAGATGCCGAGAGGACAAGGAGAATATCAGGAAAGCTGAAGCACTCTCGTCATGCAACCAGATTAAGCAATCGGTGAAAGGCGGTGCAGCGGTTTAGACATTCACCACACACTATGTTGTGGTCTGTGAGATAGAGTGAAGATTGGATTGAGGCTTGCAAGTGGTACAGGAGAAAACATCAATATATCGGTTGGGATATGGAAAGACTGGCGAACTGAAAAAGACTGACGATGCGTCTCGACAGCAACGCAATCTCCCACCATTGTGAAGAGAGAAAATATTTCACATACGCAGAACTCCAACACACTTGCAAGCGACCACTGGCTGCTCAATTCAACCAGTCCACTGGACAATTCCTACCACCACCAGAACCACCACCACTACACCACCAGCCCAGCACCGCCGCAATCGCTTCAAGTCCCCATCCCCATGCACCTCCCCATGCAGTCCTCCGACCCTCGACCAGGCCACTTGCCACACACACACAGCTACCAGCACCAGCATCAGGCAGAGGCTGCTACGCCAGCCATGCATCGCAACACCAATCCACACGCTCTCCGTGAGTCATCCTCCCCGTCGCCCCCATCCCCAAACTATTTTTGGGCTGCGCAGTCCATGTCGCAGGCCGAGTCCACTCCTGGCGAATCCAGGCATGCGCGGCAACATGTGACTGATGGCACTTCGTCAAGGACTCACCATTGTACTAACGCGGGTGCCTCACAGATGCGCATGCGACTTCGCCGGCCCAAGGCTCCCTCCGCGATGCCATTCACGGTGGTGGTCGTGCAAATACAAATACAAACGATGGTGGAGCTTTGGCGGCAACGGGAACCTCACAAGTAGGCCCTAGCTCAGGCTCAGGCTCAGGTAAGCGCGATCATCAGCACCCGCACCTGCACCAGCACCAGCACCAGCACCACAACCTTAAAGCGACAACCGAAAATTCAGGCCGACACATCAACCATCAAGCAACAGCTCCAGTCCATCGACAGCAGCAGCAGCAACAGCAGCCACGCCGTTCTAACGCGAGTTACGAGTCCTATCCTCACCAGAACCATCAATACGATTCTGCGGCCGTGTCCCAGATTCAACAACCCTTCATCTCCGCCACCAACTACCCATCCTTCGTCGTCGCTGACATGTCCTCAATGTACGACAACCAGCGGGACTTTACCCATTACCCTGCCATCGACGAGCCTCAGGAACATGACGATAGTATTCACCAGCGATATCCATCGCCCGGTGCTCTCAATAATCCTTATAGTAATCAACAAGCAATAGATGCGACCATCAGCATGGAGCTGCCTGAGCTACCCAGCAAGGCCGAGGACGACCCAGCTAGCCCTGGAAGATCAAGAGCAATACCAAAACCAGATCGCGAAGTCACAAAGGATCCCGATGGAAGATTCATATGTACATGGGCTGGGTGTACCGAGGACACAAAAACTTTTGGTAGAAAATGCGAATGGTCCAAGGTAAGCAAACATCTCGTTTGGAATTTCTTTTGAGACAATACATTGATACATTTTATTAGCATATGGACAAGCATGATAGACCTTATAAGTGCCCCGCAGATGGATGCGAAAAACTTCCTGGATTCACATACTCCGGTGGTCTATTACGACACGAGCGCGAAGTCCATAATCTTCACGGCGGCCCTCGAAAGCAATTGAACTGTCCACACCCAAACTGCAAGAGACACAGTGGCAAAGGATTCTCGCGACAGGAGAACTTGAATGAACATCTTCGTCGTGTACATACTCCAGGAAATACCGAAAATGGTGGTGACGAGACTGAGGATGATGGAAGTGAACGAGCAGGAATGAAGCGGAAGAGAAATTCACGCATGGGCGACGACAGTGATATACGTGATGAATTGGCACGATTACGAAAGGAGAATGAGGACCTTCGAAGTAACGCTGAACGACAGCATCTGGAGACACAGGACTGTAAGCACCTCTTCACTCTTCTTATGAATCACCTCTCGAACATCTCCCCATTACTCAATTCCAAACCATACTGACCTTGCCTCTAGTAATGGTGCAACTCCAAAATTTACAAGGTTTGGTGGCCGCCAAATTTGGCCAGGGCGGCGGCGGCGCACCACAGGCAATGATGTGATAGATCTCTTCTTTTTCTTTTTCTCTTTTTTCGCAAAGAAACTGAAAGAAATTTGCGATCATTCCCCTCCTTTTTGTCGCGGCTTTCGACTTTCTCTTCGGGTTTTCGGACATCACATCATGGAAGGATGGGGCATCGTCGTTGTTATTTTTCTTGGAGTTTGAGGACAGAAATCACCACAAGGGGTATATCAGACTCGCATCATGTTTTTTTTTTCTGGCATTGCAAATCATGGCATGGAGTAAACGGATGCACTTTGTATTTTTGTTTTGCTTTTTGCCTTTTGCGTTGGGTTGTTTTTTTCCTTCTACATTCTCCTCTTTTTTATACCAAAAACGGGTGTGGATGGGATGGTGGGGGAAGGGGGGGGATGGGGAACGAATTGCTACGATATACGGGTCTCCTCTTCGCTTCATTGTTTCTCTGCTTTTGCGTTTATTCTAGGCTTCTTTATATTCTTGCTTTTGCAGACAAGGGTGTGTTGTTTTTTTGTGGTGGGAGCGAGAGGACATTGGGAATGCATACGAGTCGCGCGCGCGAATGGGAGTGGGTACCTTTGATATCGCCGAGACATTGATGAGTGCGAGGGTGCGTTTTTGGGAATACTCTGATGTGAATATTAGTTGTAAGAATAATAGATGTGCTTCTTTCTTTTCCTCCGGACGTACAGTATATACTTTTCAATTGAGTTCGACTGGGGTATATATAAGAGTAAGTTATTAATCTACTAACCCCGATGCACCGCTGTACTACAGTTTCAACTGCTAAGTGCTTGTAGTTCAGCTGGATGTACCATCCGGAACTCAATTTCAAGCTAAGATATGTAAAAGATGGTGTCAAGAATTCCATTCAGCTCCGGAAAAAGCAAATATAACCCTCTTTCTTCAGCGGCAGGTGCGGCAGGCCTACCTCCGTACCCTATAAGCCATTCCATATCCCACTCACGAGGAGGGGCCAAGATGATCTGTACAGAAACTAGCGGGGCACCAAGGCGGCTGGTGGGAGCTCGAGACCGTTCTGTCGGGTGGTATCAGTTCAGCGTTACGGCTCGGGCCCAATTCTCCGGTGCACCCAGCAAATCAGAAGATGGCATTTGGGTGGTGTTGAGTTTTTGGGGGGGTAGGATTCACGTGCGGTGCGGGTGTTGTCTGTTTGGTGGGGGGTTCTTTTGCTTGTGGTGGATGGTGGATGGACTGTGGATGGGATGGGTAAAGTAGTTAGTCGGACGGGCCGTCGATGGAAGCGTGGGAAAGAGTTTAGTGGGTATTGACAAGGGTTCTAATTTCCTTAGCTCGTCTCTCTCTCTCTCTCTCTCATGAGCTCTTTTTTATCTCTTCGACTTTGACCTCGACGTCTCCTATTCAGCCAGCGGTGGACTACTGATTTTGAGGAATCGATTGAAGGAATTGAACATTCGAATTCGACATCAGTGAACTGCGATTGAGGTACTGCATCTTTCAGTGCTCCGCTATGAAGGATCTTGGGGCAGATGTCAAAAGGGTGGGGGCTGTGAGCGGTAGTGAGGATGGGGTTGCGGGGTCTGAGGTCAACTCGAATGAGAGGTCTTTTGGGGACGAGGGGATGGTGGGTCTTGAGGATGAGAGGGAGGAGATTGAGAGGATTGAGAGGGTTTACAGGTGAGTACCGGTTTTTATGAGCTTTGGTTTTGGTTTTGGTTTGGATTCTTACGAGGAGGGCTGCTAATATGGTGGGGGTAGGAAAATTGATATGAGGATCATTCCTGGTATGGCATCCCCCGTCCAATTCTTTTCAATTTGATATGATTGCTAATGAATGATGATGTTACAGCATTCTGGGTTCTCTATTTCCTTTGCTCGGCGATTCGATCAAATGTCGGTCTCGCTCAAACGATGAACACAGCACAAGGCCATTCCCTCGTGCAGAAATTGCACCTGACACCCAAAGAAACGTCTACGGCGTTGGCTCTCTTCTACGTCGCTTATGTTATCTTTGATTGTCCTTCTAATCTCCTGATGACACGGCTCAGTCCTCGAGTCTGGATGTCGAGAATTGTCATCGCAGTTGGGATCATTGGCGCCTGTTTTGCTGCTGTCAAGGCGGCTTGGAGTCTCCTGTGAGTCACGTTTTCCCCAATTGATTTAGTTGCCTTGATGGAATATGGAACTTGGCCTAACACATTCTCTCTTTCTTGTTGCTAGTCTACTTCGATTCTTGCTGGGAGTCGTCATTGCGGGCATGTGGCCTGGTATGGCGTACTATCTGACTCTTTTCTACCCCCCTTCCCGCACCGGCAAGCGAATTGGGTATTACTTCACCGCAGCCCAGGTATCCGCCGCAGTCACCGGTCTCGTGTCTGCGGGGTTCCAGAAGATGGATGGGGTAGGTGGATTGGTTGGGTTCCAGTGGATGTTCTTGCTTTACGGACTTTGTGCTATTGTTCTGGGATTCATTTTGTTGTGGTGGTTGCCCGATCGTCCGTTGCCGCCTGGACAAGCTCGTCCTAATACCTGGCGTGAGAGAATTCTGCCTGCTACCCCCCCTGTTCTCACAGGTGACGATGCGGAGGTCCATTACAAGGACTTGACGAGGGTTTATCATCCCAGACCATGGACGGTGAAGGACTTGGGGATGGTCCTGATTGATTGGCGACTTTGGCCTTTGACTATGATGTATTTTGGAGTTGTCGGTGTGGGAATTGGAACGCAACTTTATGGGACAGTCATTATTTCTGGCATCAACCCAGATTTCTCAGGTATCACCTTGAGTTTGTTGTTTGCTCCTATTTGGGTTGTAAGTCCTCCCCATTTGTCTTTTTGACACGCAAGATTTTAACTCTCTCAGATGGACCTCATCGCCATCCTCATCGTGACACCAATCTCAGATCGCTTCCACCATCACCGCGCCATCTTCTTCTCGGCTGCAGTCTGTATTCAAATTGCTGGTATCCTGACCACCACTTTCGCCCCTCGAACCCTCCCCTGGGCCCGCTACGGCGGTCTCCTAATGGTGGGCTTCGGACTCGGTCCAACAGTACCTATCTGCATGACCTGGACCAACGAGATCTTCCAACGACGCCACGGCGAAGTAGGTGTCGCCGCCGCCGCAGCTCTCGTCTCTGGACTGGGTAATCTGGGAAGTGTCACGACGACATATGCCTTGTATACTGGGTGGCCAGAGGATGCGAAGCGAGGTCCTAAACAGTACCGCAAGAGCAATTATGTTATGATTGCCATCCTGGTCATGAGTATCTTGAGTAGTTTCGTCATGACGTTTCTACTTAAAGTTATTGGAAACCCTCCTAGTAAGAAGATTGCTGCGGAGATGAACGAGACAGGGGATTTCGCAGATGGGGCGGCAAGGAGGGAGGGAAGACAAAGGGGATGTGGAGGGTTGTGGAGGAAGAAGTAGATTTTCTACTCTCTTCTCAACGCCTTTGCATCCTTCTCTTTCCTTCTCATCATGAGGCGATGAAGGACAAACACTTCAACACGCGAAAACGACCAGATTCCAAGAGTGAACATTCAACATCTTCCTCACGCCACTCCTTTACACCAGGGACTCACCTTACCGGACGTCTACTTATCTTCTCTATCCTTCCTTCCTTCATCCTTTTTTCCTTCCTCCTTTTTTGAACTCTGATTACTTTTAGCGACGATACCCCCATTCAAGCGTTTCTATATGCTTTTCATCATCCCCTTCTTTGGGTTTTTACAAGTACACCCGGTAATTAAAAATCAAAGGGCGGATCGGCGACAATGCTGCGCGCTATCGCTTGGAGAGGCGTATACGGATCTGAGACGGCACCCGGCAACAATTCTGCTTACGATATTGTTGGGACCGTTTCGTGGGATTTTTTTTTGTTGTTGGGGTTGTGAGGTGGGGAGTGTAGGTAGTGTTAATAATATATATACACGGTCTTTTTAAATGCAATTTTGTGTTGGGGTTTGTGATGTGGTGATGTTGGGGTGATGTGGGTGATGTGAGGATGTGGAGAGAGGTTAATGTGAGAGTTAGGAGCCCAAGATTGAAGTGACTGGATACAGTATAGACATCAAACCTTTTTCGGAATAACTGAGTGCTTATTGATGTAGGTTTATTAGTTGGTTACTAAAAGAATTTCCCACAGGTTTCTCATCATCGTAAGCTAGGTACTGTACCTATAACTTATAAATGAACAGTCCATCATCAATTAAAACAACTAAGACAATCTCATATCCTACTAAACTATCAATCATACATTTCTTAGCTCAGGAGGGAAAAAAGTGGTTCATAGGTTTAAGGAAATGTAGTATAGGGACTAAGTAAGAGAGAGGAGGTATACAGTAGAGTAGGAAAGTTCTAATACTTACAGTACCAAATAAGCGAAGACGCGTCTCTATACCTATTCACTCCCTCACTCCCGCACCCTTCCCATCTACATCTCAACCTCAATTCTCAACCTACGCACCAAATACACACCTCCCAAAAAATAAAAATGAATGGCAAGAAAACAAGCCCAAGGCTCGGACTAACTCTACTTTCCTACATCTCCTTTTACACTCTTGAATTCAGGAAGTTTAGTTTATCTCGCATAATCAGTGGCTCCTTCACTTGACCTTGACTATTTCTACTGATTTTGCTGGGAGGAGGACGTGTTACAGTATCTGTCAATTATCAATAAAAAAAGTCTGTGGGAGGCCTTTTGTTTTTGTAATTTATTCATTAGGTATGTGTGTGTGGGTATAGGTGTGGATATCTTTTGCATTGCACGCTGTGAGTGGGGTTGGTGGGACTGTATGGCTTTTGTTGCTAGCGCTATTGGGGGTTTATTTGATTTGATGACTTGGACCTTTGAATTATTTTGCGTTTTTATCAGGAGAGTGATTTTTGAGTGATGTAGATGAGGGGGGATAGAGCTGTTGATTCAAATTTTGGGAAATTGGGGGGACTTAGGTAGGTAGGTAGGTAGGTAGTGATTTTTGCTCCCTCGAATGGTTTGGAATGGAACCTTGGATATAACCACGACTACATGAGTTTCTATGTATAGTAGAATAGAGATCTGAAATGACTTATAAGGACTTTATCCCGGTCTGTTGAGTGTTGGTGTGGATATGTGGAGAGGTGTTATTTACTAGTGGGTGGTATTATGTATACGTTTCTTGGGGTATTTATCTGGGTAGGTAGAGGAGTGGGGGTGTGGGTATAGGTGTGAGTGGAGGTTTGATATAGAGATTTGGCATTTCTATGAGAGGGATGGGATGTGTTTTGATGACTATATGTACCGAGGTATTCGCTCTCATCTAGGATTCGTGATATGGATCTTTCGTTGGTTTAAGGTTTGCTTTGCTTGTGGATGAAACTGCTTTGAGGGATGGAGAGGGGAGATGGGAGAGGAGGTGGAGGTGGAGGTAAGTATTGAAGGTGGATTTTTTGAGTTGGGTTGGGTTGGGTTTGGTTTGGGGATTTGGTTATTGGTCCGTATAAATAATCCGAGATAATTTAAATTGTGAAGAGGTGAGTTGACTTGATGTTAAGTGGCTTGGTACCTAGTTCGGTAGGTAAGGAGGGGGAATAGTGTGAGCGCACGACGGGGTCTGTAGGTTTTATTGGTGCTCCTACTCTAGAGACTAGTTGTGGTTGTGTCACCGTCTAGGGCAGGGCAGGAAAGGAGGCCTTGTCGATTTGAGCATTGAGGAAGAAGGAACACTGGGTAGACACAGGATGGAATCTCGTTGATGGATGGGTCGACCTACCTACCTAGGTTCTGGAGTGATAACTAGCGAAATTTGGAAGGAACGAGGGACGAGACAACAGACTAGCCTTATACTAGGAATTTTGCGGTTTGTGAGAGTGGGGTTAAGCCTCATATCAGGGTATATATGAAACCGTTTTCTCTCGAATTTCACTTCGACCCTCACCCCTGAATTCATGAGGATAACTCCAAGTCTGATGATCACTATTCTTCTCAGCGGAATGGCGAGGGTGGGTTTCTTTCGGATCTGTAAGATATCTAGTTCTGATAGAGATTTTTGGAAAGAGGATGAAGACCATGTGTCTTGAGATTAGACGGAAGGCGTAAATTCTGAGCTTCTCCTTAAGTTTACAAATGGGTACAGATAAGGATATAGAAATATGATGGGATAGTACATAAGGAAGTGCTTAATATCAGATTCGAACTCCTCGAATCCTTTAGTGGCCGGAACTGTTCTAAATCAATCGTTGAAAATTCTTCAAAACAGCTAGAGGCTCTGAAGCGCCTCTTACGTGTGAACGTGGTCTTGCACGTCCTCCTAAGTGGAGTAATTCCTCGTTTAAGAGGGGGACAAAAGGTACTGTTGTTTTGTAAATAGATGGAAGGTTTTACATGTAGGGTAGCTAACCTTTTTGGTGTGTGATCCTCACGGGTATAAAAATCTCCTATTGTTCATCATATGCTTAGATAAGTTGGTAAAGGTAAAGGTGAGAGGCTACTCCAGGATTTCAATCCCACAAGATATACCCCCTCCCAAAAAAAGAAGGAGGAAAAGAAAAAGAAAGAAAAAAGAGCATTCTCAATATCAGAATCAAACTAATGACTCTTCCAGATCCCATAACACCTTCGTGAGGCTCTGCCGCGCCGGGGGGCTACGCTGACTAGGTCCCATCCAGTGTGTTATGTGAGGAAGAAACGTTTTACCACTAGACTAATTGAGCTTAGGGTTTATTTATTTGGAGTTGAGTTTCCTAGATAATAGTCAAGTATCTGAAGCCCAGCTAGAAGTGGAGTAATGCGGATTCCTAAGGTGAAGACTAGAGAGTATCTATTAAAATATAGACTAAGTGTTTACTTAGTAATACATGGGAGAAATCCGGTGGAAATCAGCATTATTATCAATTCTGGTAATGCTGAAGACTTTTCGAGAAGGGCGAGGAGTGAGTAGTCTCTCGTTCTTCCTGGAACCGTTTTGAAAATTCATGACCTACCGACTTGAGGCGAATTGTGTTACTGAACTTATGCCGTTAATAGTAATCAAGAAAAGACACTCTCTAAGCACCTAACCTCCCTCAATACTTCAACATGATTAACCCCAAAAGCCTCTACAAATCATTCCCCTATTCCCCTATTTCCCTAAACACCCATACCTCTATTCAAAGTCAAGGCGCTTTGCCACCGCCCACTAAACAATATACTTTATACCAAACAAGTAAAGCATTACCATTACTAATATAACTAAACCTTCCTTTAACCCCGAGAAACAATATAGAATCCACAAAAACGAAAATAGAACCCTAATAATACTACAAAATCAAGAACACCAAAAAAGGAATTGAATACTTAACATCGGTGTTAATACAATAAATCTCCAAGACTAGACAACACCAGTCACGCCCCTACTCCTTAACAAAAAGGTCTTTTTCTACAAAGATCGGGTAGGGCGTACCTAAACAAGGGTTTACCAACTCGCCCTTCTGAAATAGAGTGCTAGTGCTAGTGCTTATTTTCAACATCAAAGCGTTTAATGGACGGTGTAAAATACCATCAACTTAAATAGCGCTAAGTAATATAATTGTGCCTTCCAATATTCGATAGAGAAAAATGGCTAGTTCATAAATGATAGTATGTGATTTTTACACTTCATATATAGGTACTATATATTCCCCATCAGATGATCGAGCGAGGGAGTGAAAAGCAAGGAAAACAATACGAAATATACTTCAATTGCTACTAATCTGCGAATATCAAAAAAAGGAACCTCGTCTATCTATTCAGCACTCAGACATACAGGAATCTCACGAACAAACAAAGGAGAATAACTGTGCATTTGCTAATTCATTCATTCATTTCGTCTAATCTCAAAGAGTCTGTACATATCCCCTCTCTAGAAGCCTTCTTCCCCATTTTTTAAGAGATTTAGATGAGTTGCTGGAAAGCACGGTTGATAGGAGATCTGAGGTTAGGAACGTCCTTGTAAAAGTCAACAGTTGCAACGGCACGCTTGGCGATACCCTCTGGAGTGAACTCGAATTTCTATACAGCTGTTAGCTATGGTCATGATAAGCTTCTGATAAGTGACATACCTTGTACACATCTTTGTAGGCACCACTGGCACCGAATCTGTTGAGACCGAACTGCTCGTGGGTGTATCTTTCCCATCCCATAGTTGACATGACTTCAACAGAGAGGGATGGAATACCATCTGGCAAAACGCTGAGTCTGTACTCCTTGGCCTGAGCATCGAACACCTCAAAGCAAGGAATAGAAACAACACGGGCAGTGAGGTTGTGGTTGTCCTTCAAGTATTTGACTGCGTCAACAGCAATACCCACTTCGGAACCAGTAGAGACAATTGTGATGTCTGCCTTCTCAGCTTCGTGAACAACATATCCACCCTTGATTGCGTTGGAAAGGGTGGAGTTCTCGAGATGTGGAAGGTTTTGTCGGGAGAGAGCAATAATACTTGGGGTGTGCTTTGAGGTCAACGCAACATAGTATGCAGCGCTGGTCTCGTTTCCGTCAGCTGGGCGCCAGACCATGCAATTGGGGAGAGCACGGAAGTGTGCTAGTGTCTCGATAGGTTGATGGGTTGGTCCATCCTCACCAAGTCCAATAGAGTCGTGGGTAGCGACCCAAATGGCTCGGACTTGAGAGAGTGCGGAAAGACGAACAGCTCCGGCAGCATATGAGACGAAGTTCAAGAAGGTACCTCCATATGGGATGACGGTGCCGTATGCAGCAAGACCGTTCATGATAGCGCCCATGGCGTGCTCACGGACACCATATCTAATGTAACGTCCAGACCAGTCACCAAGACCAGTGGCTGGAGGTTGGAAATCAACAGCCTCCTTCCATCTGGTCAAATTCGAGCCGGTCAAATCTGCAGAACCACCAACCAATTCTGGGACGACATCGTGGATAGCTTGGAGGACAATCTCGGAAAGTTTTCGGGAAGCCACTGGAGAATCCGATGGGGAGTATACTGGCAAATTCTTCTCCCAGCCTTCTGGGAGCTCTCCAGCCAAACGACGCTTCAAGTCAGCAGCCTCGGTCTTGTGAGATCCGGCGTATTTGGAAACAAGTTGCTCCCATTCTTTCTCAAGAGCGGCGCCCTTAGCACCCTTCTCGTTGTAAATGTCATAAACTTGTTGTGGGACGACAAATGACTCCTCTGGGTTGAACCCAAATTTGGTCTTGAGCTGCTTGATGTCGTCTGCCTTGAGAGGAGCACCGTGAACACCGTGTGTGCCTTCCAACTTGGAACCAAAACCAATGATGGTCTTGAGCTTGATCATGGATGGCTTATCCTTCACAGCTTGGCACTTTTTGATTGCATCTTCGATTGCTTGTAAATCATTGTTACCGTCTTCAACGGTCTCGACATGCCAACCATATGACTTGAATCTCAAGGCAACATCCTCTGTGAAAGCACAGTTGGTATCTCCGTCGATGGAAATGTGGTTGTCATCGTAGATGGCAATCAAGTTACCAAGCTGCAAATGTCCAGCGATAGAAGCAGCCTCGCTGGCAATGCCCTCCATCATGCATCCATCTCCTAAAAAGCAGTATGTGTAGTTGTTGATAAGCTCGAATCCTGGCTTGTTGAACTCGCCTCCAGCGTGGGCCTGGGCGATAGCAAGACCAACGGCATTTGCGAAACCTTGTCCAAGAGGACCAGTTGTGACCTCAACACCGTCGGTATCGTGTGCCTCGGGATGACCTGGGGTTTTGCTGTCTACTGACTTCAAGGTTGCAATTGTTAGCGAAGCCAATCTAAAAGAGGATGCCAGCAAGACGTACTCGGAATGCCTTGAGGTCATCCATAGAAAGCTTGTAACCGCAGAGATGGAGGAGAGCATATTGGAGCATGCAAGCGTGACCGTTGCTATAGTAAACATTAGTAAGAACCGGAAGAATTTTTCTAAAGCATTGGGATCCATGCTGTCTGAGCTCCTTAAGTTGCTATGAATAGATGAAATGCCTTCTTTTCAGCGAGAGCCATGAAACCGCGAAAAAAGCAGTGCCAAGGGAAGCTCTGCAAGTTCCCGCTTCATCACCTCTAGAATATTCGACCGCCGGAGCTGCGTATCTTAAGAGAAAGAAGTACTCACGAAAGAACGAATCGATCTCTATTCACCCAGCTTGAGTTCTTTGGGTTGTAGTTCATAATCTTGTTGAAAAGAACGTGTGCGACTGGGGCCATTCCCCTGGATCCGGCATTAGCAGAAGTATCGAATCGAGGCAATTGAGCCACCTACATTGGGGCACCAGGATGGCCCGAGTTGGACTTGAATGTAGCATCGGCCTATGGGATAAAATCAGCAACTATCGTGAAGATAGTATCGTGGTGTTGAGGGCCTCAAATAGGGCCCACCCCTCGTAATGGAGGGGTAAATCAGGCAAAACGTACCGCTAAGATACGGATGGTGTTGATAGCCAGCTGATCAACGTCGGTGTAGCCCATGATTGCGGTTTGGGGGGGTATGTAAGGGGGATGCTAGAGAATTGGTGTTGATGGAGCAAGAGGGCGGGAGAGAAAGAAGAGGGAGAAGTCTGGTGAAGGAGGTGGAGGCGTTGAGATTTTGGCAACGTCGTCAGCGGGGTGGGTTTCGGAAGTAGTGGGGTTAATCGATCTTGGGGCAGGGCCGGCCGAAAGTCGCCAACAAAAAAACGTCACGATGTACCCATAGCCAGACTCAGACTCCACCGGAGCTCTCTTGACCAATTCCACGCAGTATCGGTCAGCAGCGCGCATCTCGACTGGCTGAGAGCTGGCAGAGGACTCAGCATGGTGCAGCTTCTTTTTCCAGAATAAGCAAGTCACCTGATTCCATTTCTCCGCGCTCAATCTCCAGCCGCCGCGGGGTCCCTGAAGGAGAAATCCGATCCTCCGTATTTCGGGTCGGCGATTGACGGGCGGGTTGTGCTCCCAAGTCTACTGAATAGGAGTTTGCTGATTCTTTCCAATCGTTTAATAAGCTCGGTTAATTGGGCAGAGGTCATCCGGGGTCAGAAACGAATTTATATCAATAATCAATAGATATCTAGGTGCTCATTTGGACCTTGTTAGCGAGTGTTGACGTGAATGATGGATGATGGATGATGGACCCATTGGGTGGAGAGTAACAAAGTGCATGAGTGTGATAGTATAGATATGAGATGGATGAAGGCTTCTAGCATCATAGACTAATAAGTGAGTAGGTACAGTACGAAAAAAGCCAGGCTCTCAATTCCATCAAGGCCCGTATCTAACCAGGCCAGGCAGAGGAGCGGCGAATCTAATCTTTAGCTTGGCAACAAGTTCGAAAAGGGTTAATGGTCAGCCGCATGTCAAAATAAACAACGACAGAGAGTTGGCCAATCAAAATGGTGCAGCTAACCACAAGTCGTCAATCGTTATACTTCAATTAGGGAGCTTAGGAGAACCTTACCTTGTTCCCGGAGACTTGACTACTCAAATCACTAACAACAAAGTACCAGGGGAGGTAGGCGCATAGAAAGCCATTGATATTCTTGTCACACCTAATATCCATGTTCCCCAGAGTATCATTCTTCATGCCTAAAACGCCCATTTCAATACAACGCCATCCCAATGTATCCCTGCTTTGTTATGCAACAGTAATTTGGCCCAACCAGTTTTCATCTTATAGCAATAGTTCTTCGCAGGTCCAATCTTCGTAGCTAGCTTTGAGTTAGTTCCTGAAATCGAGTAAATGGTAAATGTAATAACCTACAAACCATCAGGCATGTATCGTCGAATAATCAAGGGTATCTTTTTCTCTCTTAATTCTTTGATTGCAATTTGAAGAGGATCTGTCTCTCCTTCCAGATCAACCAATACCGGCGCGTTCATACTGAAGTTGGAGTGTTAGATATATGTTCTGATCAAAAAAATCGCAGTCCGCCCCAACTAACCTAATCTGCAACGCCCTTGTGCCCAGAATACGAGCTCGTTCATATTTGGTCATATATGGTGTAGTGGTTCGTTTATCATGAGGAATCTGCTTGTCTTTTGGTGCCTTTTCACCCTTTCGATTCGCCATAGCAGCTGCGTCCCCGGATTCAACGACATTATTAAACTGGTCCTGATCCTCGCCCAGCGCAGTTCCGTCTGGATTGTGAACATCCTGCTCATGGTCATCGGGTTCCATTGGCTCATCTGGTTCGTAGTCGGGCTCATCACCACCGTAGGCTGGGGAGTATCTTTGGGGATAAAGTCAATGGGTTTGGTCGACATCAGGTTGGATAGCTCCTCTCTCGAGCAAGGAAACTTACCCTCCATCTCCACCTTCGTTGTCAGACATTTTGAGATTCGGATCGCGTCGCTGATGTGGTTGCGCAGAAGTCTGAAAGAGAGTTGGAGAGTTTGCGACTCGAGGCAGCACAAGTGCACAAAGAAAAAGTGATCTGATGCGCCTTGGGTCGGGATAAATTAAGGTTTGACCGACGCGCTAAGCCTTCAGCCACAACTAGCCCACACTCACCAGCCACCTCAAAATTAATTTATCCAGCTCTATCAATCCAACCTTTACATCAACAAGTCAACCTCATGTCAAGATTACTCGACGAACCCAATGGCTGCTCAAGCCACAAAAAGGAAGACCTCAGGTCCTTTGGAGGAGGCAGTTGTTTCTCAATCAATTGACGACAAAACGTACGACGACGAAGAGGAAGACCAGTCCTACAGAGCGCATGAAGATTCCTCAGATAATGACGACGATGTCAATACACCAGTCACCCCATTTTCACCAGCCTCAAGAGAGAAGTTTCCATCAGAACGCAAGAGACTTCAATGTACCTTTCCAGGCTGCGACAAGACGTTCAACAGACCCATCAGATTGGAAACGCATATGAACATACATACTAACGAGCGAACTTTCAAATGCAGTTATGAAGGCTGCGCCAAGTCGTATTTTGAGAAGAAGCATCTGGATGCGCATATACGGGGCTCTCATACGAAGGACAAGAGCTACAATTGCGAATGGGAAGGATGTGGGAAGAGTTTCTTAACCAACACCAGACTCAAGCGACATATGGAAACACATAAAGGAAATGACCGATTTGTGTGCACTGGATACCCTGGCTGCAACAAAGCCTTTCGCAAACATCAAACCCTCCAACGTCATATCCGATCTGATCATCTTCAACTCTATCCTTATCCTTGTACATTCGTTGATCCTATTACTGGTGTCCCTTGTGGTGCTGGCTATGAAGGTGCAACAGCACTTAAGCTTCACGAGAAACGTGTACATGCCACTCCATTTCTCTGTACAGAATGTGTTATTCCAGGTTCTTTTAAGCCTGACGGAACACCAGCAAACCTAGGTTTCAGCACTGAGAACCAACTCAACTCTCATATTGAAAGAACGCACTCTAACCGCAAGTGCTGTGCATTTTGTGAAAAGAAATTCAACCGCAAGCAAGATCTGCACAGGCATCTTGAAGCACAACATTCAGGAAAGACTGTTGAAGAAAGAAGGACCTTCAAATGCCAATTCACGGATTGCGACAAAGCATATACGAAGCAATACAGTCTCATGTTGCATATCAGAGCTTCCCATGAAGGTGAACGCTATATCTGCGGTACCTATGACTTTAGCCACATCCCAAACCTCGCTGGTTTTGATAAGGAAGACGCTTGTGGAAAGGATTTTGCAACAAAAGCCAATTTGGAAAATCACATTCGCTCTGCCCATTTGGGTATGTCTTGGCAAGTAATTGTCCCACGTAAAAACCAAATGAGAAAGAGAAAGAGGAGATCTGAGGTTGAGGAAGAAGACATTGATGATGACGATGAATCAGACTGCGATGAGGACCAAGATTATGAAATGCTAGACCTTGAAGTAGGAAGGATAAAGAAGCCAAAGAAGAAAAAGGGAAAAAAGAACAACCTTTCAGCAATTGATGAGCTTATTGGGAACTCCTACGCCAACGACCCAAAGCGAAAAATTCCTTGTACGGTACCCGGATGTCCTCATAAATTCATTCGAGAATACGATCGGGTATTTCACATGGGCACTTTTCATTCCGAGAACCCATCTTTTAACGAAGAAGTTGATACCACGGTGTTTGAACAGAATATGCTTTCCCAGGAGGGCTGTATCAACGATATGAATTCGGCGGCTATCGAGCTCGAAACACCACTTCAGCAACAAGATCATTGGAGTATGGGACTTGAGCAGTCATTCTTGAACCAGAGCGATAACTTCTGGCTCGGTGGTGGAGAATTTACTCCTGCTCATACCCCTGGCGGAGATTTTCAATGGGCACATGAAGAAGCTGAGATGAGAACCTTGATTGACCCTGCTAGCTTTGCTAGCAACGGTGGATTTAGTAATGCTAACGATAACGAACCCGTTGGTTCTGGGCAAGCTGTGAATTTCGAGGGACCTATTGATCCCGTTTTGATGGGTTTGTAAATGTGCTGTATTAAGAGGTCGTAGAAATTCTGGGCACACGCCAAGTTTTGGTTTCAAACTACGGAAGGAGGGGATGGGGGTTTTGGGCGAGGGGAAAAAAGTATTTGGGCAGGCGTTACATATGGAGAAGGGGTTTACTAGAGCTTGCAAGTGCTGCGTTTTTCTCTAGTTATCACTTACTTCAATTAGATTTTTGGTTGACCAAAGCTTCCCAGGAAAAGTGTTTTATGTCTTGTAGATGAATGGAACGATGGGTAAATTGACCAAACCACTAAGATGAAAAGCGTGTTTTTCTTTTTTGCTTTTCCCCTCCCCCTATTGTAATATCTCGGCACGAAGTGATTTAAGAAAGAAAAAGCGTTACAGTATACTCGTAGTTTCGCTTGAGTATCAACCCAAGCCAGCATGAGCCAGTTGTCATTCTGCTTTTGGTGCAGAATACTCAAACCCTACGATAGTGCAAGGTCTGAGCAAGCACAAGTCCAACAGTCTATCAAATCATAGCTGTTATAAATTTAAGTACTCATATGGCTAAGGTGCTACTGTCTGGGCTTACGTACGGAGGCGTGCCGCAGGATTTGTAAAAGGGACAACGCTACTACTGTAGGCAAGCGAGCCGGCTCACCCGAAGCGCAAGGCAATGCAAGCAAATAATTTGTCGCATGTTCACCAGCCGCTGCCACTTCTCCCTTTTTGCAGCGATAAGGAAATCCCATACTGTACCCACACCTACACCAACACCTCCACCCTCGAAGCATATCGACATCCGACTTGATCACCTTCCTTGCAATATAATCCGACAATTCAACTGCGCTCTCCACCAAAGATTTTCATCGCGATCCCTCAATTTGCCTGTCAATCCACCCATACGTCATACCAAACTTATTGACCCCTGCGAAGCAATCAGAAGCCGACAGATATTCCACTTGGACCGACCATCTTCAAGACAACAACACCAACACGCGACAGCCAAACTCACAGGGTTGTCTGCGAGCGAGCATAAGATGTCTAGTGTAAGAACTCGTCGGCAGGCCGCCGCAATGGCAACACCAGAAACACCCACACCACCACCAAGGGAAAAGGAGATTCAGAAACCCATCATGAACGGAAATGGATCAGCTCATGCCCAAGAAAAGATCGATTCTCCAAAAGAGAACATATTTTTGTTCTGGCCCAACATCATCGGTTAGTCGCAGATGTATTTGTGAATGGCCAGGTCAGCAGCTAACACTACTTACAGGCTACAGCAGAATCGTTCTCGCATTCGCATCTTTATATTATATGCCACTTCACCCGCGCACTTGTTCCATACTCTACAGTATCTCGTGTCTTCTCGATGCCTTGGACGGATATGCAGCAAGGGCTTTTGAGCAGTCGACTCGGTTTGGAGCTGTTCTCGATATGGTGACTGATCGTTGCACAACAGCCTGCTTACTGGTTTTCCTTTCTTCTGCCTGGCCCCGTTATTCTCTCGTCTTCCAAGGCCTGATCTCGTTGGATTTGGCTAGTCATTACGTCCACATGTACGCGACCTTGATTATGGGCGGTTCAGATACAAGTCATAAGAAAGTGGACAAGTCCCGAAGCTGGATTCTCAATTTATACTACACGAACAAGGTACATTTTACCCCAAGTTTTCCATGGGAGCGTATTTTTGGGAGCGAAATACTAATTATTTTCACAGACGGTCCTATTCCTCTTCTGCGCCCTCAACGAAATTTTCTTCATCGCCCTCTACCTCCTCTCCTTCTCGTCACCCTTCCTCTCTCCCTCCTTACTAGAAGTCAAAAAAACCGACGGCGCCGGCTCCACACTTCTCCCAGGAAGCCCCTCAGGACCATCGGCAACCTCGCTCATCTTCGCCAACCCACACAGTGCCGCAGCTCTAGAATTCGCGCGCGCCAACAAAATGGACTCGACGATCCCATGGATCATTGCTGGAATCAGTTTCCCAGTTATGGCGGGGAAGCAATTCATCAATGTAATTCAGTTGGTCAAGGCGAGTAAGTGGTTAGCAGAGGGTGACTTGGAGTTAAGGAGAGCTGCTGGGTTGCCGAGAGCAAAGAAGGAGAAATAGGCGATCAAGTTTATGATCGGGAAATTCTTTTGCGGTAGGGGGTCATCCATTGGAGTGTTTGACTCCAAGAATGGAGGGCTTCTTTTCTCTCGTTTCGTGTAAATCTATTTTATTTTCTTCCTCTTCTACTTTTTCCTCCAGACACCCCATGAGTTCTGTACCCTTTGATTTCATCGGATGATGGTTGTCGTTGTTGTTGGGGGAGGGGGCACCTTCGCTCTTATTTACTAGATGGGGAACTGGCGTTGATTGAATGATCACTTTGGGAGGCACGCATGTTCTATACAATGAATGCAACGAGACGAGACGAGACGAGACTTTGAATCTGGATGACGGGTGGATGGATGGGTGTATATGAATGACCCGTACCCGTCATTGGTTGGTAATCTTTAATATGAGTTTTCTTCATGTTAATGTTGTGATTGTGGTTCTGAGGACTATCTATCTTCCGCGATACTGTAGAATTTGTGTAACTCCAAGACAAAAAGGAATGATTGGATTATTCTAGATGCTGGTAGATAAGATACCCTGTCTGTATCACTTTGATGTTGTGTATGGCGTACCACTATCAAACAAACCTGCAGCTTAGGAGTAAGGCATCTAGAGGAATAGTTGGGTTGGTCACTCCATGTGATATAGCCTGTAGTTATATCTATCTGGCAGTTTTTCAACACAACCAAACCCAACCAAATCCAACTGAACACGTCACGCTCTATACATTCTGTACATCGATACATGTAAAACGTACATGGTATATGGCAATGTAACCAACCAACCAACCCTTGCTAGTAGTACCTCGTGTGCGGCGTGTCCAATTGCATAGGGCAGGCAGCTGGTTTTGGGACAAGACAGAGATAGAGTGGTTGGGCAGCATTTGCGTTTCGGTTCGTTATCTGGGAGTACCTATAGGTGGTGAGTGAGTCAGATTCTGTACTGACCACTAACTGGTTTTTTGGTACCCTTTTCTTTGGTGGGTGGTGAATGGTACGTGGATGCTGTTTGTTCTGTTCTTCTTTGGTTTCTTGGTGTGGGTTTGGTACAGTGTTGTGGTGAATTTTAATCTGTTCCTGGTCCTAGTTTTGGTTTTGATTTTGATTTTGATTCTAGGAGCTGTTTAGAAGTTCAATAGGTCGGATAGTTGGTAGTTGGTAACCACATCCAGACATCAACATCAACATCAACTTCTCGCTCATCCCACGATACAGATACGGACGTCCATATCATACCACATACCCACTTCCTCACCAACGGATAAAACTTGTTACCCATCCCATTCCATCCTATTCCAAAAACGAAAACGCGATGGCAATACAACCATCTTCAAAATTTCCTTCCCGCTCTATACAGGATGTTCCTGCCCCGCCTAAATACCAACATCATATCTCTCCCATGCCTCCTCAACGAAACTCCTCACGAGTAAACGAGTTGTCACAATGTGAGGGTTCTAATATGCGAGAAGGAGATATTACGCCCTGGACCCGTTTTGGACTTTTTCTTATAGGTGTCGCTGTTGTGGTGGTCATGCATTTTTGCTTGGATTATATGGCGCCTGTGCCGGTGTTGATGATTGGGTGGTTGGCTTGGGGGCTTTATGGGGGGGAGGGGAAGGATTGAGGGGAAGGGTGAGGGGGATGTGAGGATGAGAATGAGAATGAGAATGAGGGACAATAGTGCTTGGAGAGAATGGGCGTCAGAGATGGGATACATATGAGAAGGACGGAGGAAGAATAAAGATAATGAGGACGGCTGATACATTTTGATCCGAGATGCTGATGAGATGGGGTATCTTACTAGAGGGGCGACATGAACGGGGAGTGTAGTGTACCCAAAGTATCTCTTTCTGGTTTTGGACAGGAAGGCTTCTGGTTTGACTCTTTCTCGCTAGAAGCATATTCGGCGAATAAAAAAGACGGTGTAGAGATCCTTTCTTGAGAAAAAAAAACACATACACAGATCTGCTGGGATTTGGAGATGGTGGACGAAGCGGGTGTTGATCGCATTTGATAGTAGGATAGATCCTCAACTTTTAGTGATGCATATCAAACGAATATCTGGCCAATCCACAATATCTATTGAGGCTCAAAATCATGAAGTAGCGCCCGTTGGTCCCTCTCCGCCTGGTATCAACTATCCGAAGGTTAGCAGGTAAAAATGATGGGTAGAGAAATTCAGTTTACCATGCAAATGTTATTTCCGTTCAGTAGAATCTTTGAGAGCTTGGTGTGGTTTCCGGAGTAATCGCTGTGAGCCCAAATTAGTTTCTCTTGGGGAGAATCTTTCGATGGAATAGACATACAATTCAGTCACGTCCTCGAGTACCATGTCTATGGATTTGTAAGTAGGCTATCTATCGGAAGGGAGGAGAGTCAGGTACTTACTAACGTAATCATCGAATCCGAGTAATGTACCGCTGAACTCTATAAAGAGGTCTTATAAGCTGGTGGGTGTATTGGTAGTTTGAGGGGATTATCATACCCTTTTCGCCTTTCATGACGACCCATATTTTGGATCCCACGCACTTGTCGATCAACTCTGGAGGGGTTGTCAGTATGAGGCATAAGAGACCAAGGCTATAGAGAGCGCCTACCAAGAGGCAGTAGTTGAGATGCCATTGTGAGTGAGGGGTTGTAGGTTGTAGTCAACCTTGGAGGTGATCAGTGGTTTGTACAGAAGGAGTCGGATTCCCAACAAAGCAATCCATGTACACATGAAGACTTACTGGTGAATGAATTCACTCTTAACACTGTGAGATTGAAATATCTCTCACTAACAGGGTCTAGTCAAAGTTGAGCTCAAGGTTGTGAATGATCCCTGTGTGCCTTCTCGTGACGACAAAATCCGGGATTTTGTCGGGTCCTCGTTCTCGAGAGCTAAATTGGTATTGGTTGGATAGAGTATCACAGCGCGTCTGCCTCCAACCCACCTCTAGGCACAGCTGCAAGCACCGTGAAGTACACAAACAACCCATACTTGGTTGTCAAATGCTCGCGTCATGCTCCGTAGTCATTATGGGGCATCCACCGTGGCCAGAAACCTCCGAAGACCTTTTACATACACCATGAATTCCAATACCGATTCTACCATTTCTACTTTGCTTGCGGACTCGATGAATGCTACTCGATCCGTGATGAGCGGCGCTAGAGCTGCGTAAGTGGATACTTTGAGCTGGCATGTACTTACCGTGTACTAATGGATGTATAATTACAGTTCTGGCTCTACTCCTGCTTCTTCGAGACCCAGGCTTTCTCCCCAACCCTCGAAGACATGGCATCCATTGAACGGGATAGTATTCAGCCCTGGTCCTGGCAGGCCCAGGACGAACACTACGAATACAATTGGGATAGAGCGGGATATGGCTTTACATTCGAGCTCGGAAGATAATTACGTGCTGGCTGCAGCAACATTGGCGACATCCTCGACATTTGTCTCAGAGACCGAATCCAAGAAGGTGGATGAGAAATCTGCGTCGACGAACCCTGCTGCTCCATCTGCAGCAGGTCAAAAGCCAGAGGCTCCAAAGCCCGTCGAGGAGGAACTAGAAGATCCAAAATACGACATCTTACCGGAAACCTATCGCGAATGGAGAATGACGGAGGATCTATTTCGCGTGGCTAAAAGTGCGCCAAAGGAAAGTAAAGCTTCATATTGGTCGCACGCGTTGTATCGAGGGCCTGCGACTGAGACGGATAAAGAGGAGAGGAAGGTTACGGTTCATTATTGCAGGAGCAAACTTACGACGGAACGAGTGTTGGAGAAATATTTTGCAGATTCCAAGGTTATTGGATTCGATATTGAATGGATGATAAACGTGCACAAGAATTCCGGGCCCAAGAACAATGTCTCCTTGATACAGATTGCAAATGAGGAGCGGGTTGCCCTCTTCCATCTTGCATTATACACTGGCAATACGAAGGAAGATCTGGTATCTCCATTATTGAAACAGATTTTGGAGAACCCAGATGTCACGAAAGTTGGAGTTGCCATCAAAGGCGATTGCACAAGAATAAGGAAAAACCTCGACATCCGTCCCAAGGGCTTGTTCGAATTAAGCCATCTTTTCAAGCTCGTCAAGTTCTCCGAGTCAAAAGAGTTCAAGCAAATCAACAAAAGATTGATTTCACTAGCAACTCAAGTCCAAGAACATTTTCATTTGCCAATGTTCAAAGGCGGTGACGTTAGATCTGGAGCTTGGAATAAACCTTTGAATCTTGAGCAAATCCGATACGCAGCATCCGACTCCTATGCTGGCATTCAACTCTTCCTGGATATGGAAGCAAAACGAGAAAGATTAGATCCAACTCCACCGCGTCCTTATCACGCTGAGTTAGATATCCCAATTCGAACTGCTGAGGGGATAGAAATACCTACCGATGAACCAGCAGAAGTGGATGAAGACGGAGAGGAGATCAAACCCGAGGATCCAGAACCTCCGGTACCTACCAAGCGGAAGTATACCCGAAAAGTTCTTGCTACTCCAATCTCGGGCCAGGAAGGTAAAGAGAGCACAGATGCTGAAGGAGAGCCTCCTGCCCCGAAAAGAAAATATGTTAGGAAGCCAATACCGCATTTTGCAGCTGAAGAATCATTCGATTTTGAGGATCAAGCAATCGAGGGGGCTCTAATGGATCACGTCTACGAAACGCCTATCACGCGTTCACGGACACGAACCTCACGCTCCAAAGCCACTCCTAAGCCAAACCCTCAAATCGAGAAGCAAGAAGAAGCAAGTGACTCGGACGAGGAGTACTTTGAATGCATGAGAGATCCTCCTCCCAGAAACCCCGTTGAGGAAGAACCCGCCAAAATAGATTCAAAAGACGAGTCCATTGATGAGGAAGACCCAACAACCATCCTAGAAACAGCAACCTCCCACGCTCTCCACCACCTAACCACCACACTCCCCTCCCATTCCACAAACACAAACACAGACACAAAACAGCCTACCCTCCCCTCCCTCCGCACGTTCTATCTCTGGCATCAAAATCCCCATCTCAATCTTCCAGAGATAGCGTCTCTCCTCCGCTCCCCACCTCTGACCATCACAACCGTCACCCAACACATCCTAGAAGTCGCAAGCTGGGAAATCAAATCCTCCTCACTTGAAAGCGAAAGTATGAATGGACAAGGCAGTGAAAACATACTCCCCGAAGATCCGCAAGTACTCAAGGGGGTGAGCGACATAGAAATCGAAACGGATAGGATAAGAGGGATTCTGGCTGTATGGACAGACTTGGGATTCAATCCCGCCCCATGGACGGATCTACAGAAAACACTAGATAGATAAGTGGGTAGTAAGAAAGGAAGCAACCCCCATCACTGGGGAGAAGAGTACGATATCCAGGGCTCTCAACACCCTCGGTTTGGAAATTCGATCACAACGCTGGATACAGTAGGGAAGGAGGAACGCACACATACATACAGAGACTCAGACGGCGTTCAGGATAATAACACAGGAGGGGGCCCGGGGCGAGGACATCCATGCTATGTAGAGTAAATCCATACACCAAAGTGATGGATAGGATGAATAAGAAGAGAAATCTCCACATATGACATCATACAGTAGTACCTTACCATACGGAGTACTCGCAGATAGCATGAATAATATATACCCGGCGTCTTTTCATTCTCGATTTCTTGATTCTAGAATGACTAGCAACTTGAGAATATATAATATACAATTTACAGTTACAGTAACGAGCTTATTGTTAGAGGAAGATCCTGTTGAAGTACTTGGGAAATATATATATATATATATTTTTTTTCTTTGTTATGGTATAGTAGATACTTGGGGATGGGATTGAAGTTGAAGTTGAATTTGAGATTAAAACTAATTTAAGGCTTACTACACAGTATTGTATATAGTGTTGAAATTATGCAAGTAAAAGTAAAAGTACCTACGTCGGCGCTACCACAGTATATAGAGGAATTGTATAGGGTAGGGTAGATAGGTAGTAAAGCTAGTACAGCAAAGAGAGTCCAAGACTCGATCGATTTCTTCGTAAATACATATTGCTAGTGCTTCCATGAGGTCCCTGCTACATAGGGTACTAGCGTACCACTAAGATAGGTATACCAGCATATTCACTTTATAACCTCTACTCCCCCTGACGGTTCGGATCATTATCTCTCCATCCGGCCAATACTTCCCCATTATTCCCCAAGCGATCGATTCACTTACAGCAGATTCACACCCAGCTATCACTGCAGCACGCAAAATAATCAAGACGAATGCTATTCATTTTATTGAAAGAGAGAAAAAAGAATGTATGCACACTAGGCTGAAATCTGAACTATAATCGCAAAAAGAAAATCTATCCCCTTCGAAGAAACATCCTCCGCTACAGACATATATACTTTTACCTCCTTCACCCATAAACTCCGTCGCTCTGGGTAGCTTTTTTGATGCTTCGTCCTTCACACCATTTTGTTTTTCAAGCCATTCTTCCACGCTTTGGCAAGACTGCTCATCAAATTACCACGAAAAAATGCATAGCAATGCTATCAGTTCATCCCCAACAAGGCCTTGGCTCCAGGCTCACTAGCAACATAAATGACATCGTGAGAGTCACTGAATCCGTTGAATCGAGTGGCAGAGCACTTGGTATATGCGCCCATCTCCTCAAAGTAAAGCCAATCACCCACATCCAAGATTTGGTTGAAACGAATGCTCTTGGAAATTTGGTCGATTCCATCACAGGTTGGACCCCAGATGGAGTATTCAATCCCGTCAGAACAAGCTTGTGAGGCAATGGTATCGTAGCAAGAGCGGCCATTGACACGCAAGATTTGTGCAACTGGATTCTGGTGGTCAAACATGATGCTGGAAAAGTTGCCGTAGAGTCCGTCGTTCATGTAGAGCATGTAGCTATCCCCGCCGTTTGCTGGGTTCTTGATAGTGCGACGAGCGATGACATGGCAAGCCAGAGTGAACGCTGACGCGACATAGTAACGTCCAGGCTCTCCAATAACTTGGATATTGGAAGGCATGTATTCGTCCAATGCTGAGCTCAAAACAGCGGCCATTTCATCAAAGGTTTCGCTAGAAAATCCACCACCAACATCAAGTGTATGGAATGAAAATCCGCGAGTTTCGGCTTGGTCGAAAACACAGCGAGCATCTTGAACTGCCTTGATGAATGCGCCTGGGTCAGAAGCTCCAGATCCAACATGGAAACTAACGCCTACGACATTGAGCTCCAATTCCTTTGCTAGAGCAAGAAGGTTGTCAGTTGTGTCCATGGCAGCCCCGAATTTAAGGCTCAGTTGGCACAAGCTTGAGGAATCATCGGTTGAAATCCGGAGGAACAACTCGGCTCCGGGGAATAGCTTTTTGATCTTGTAGAGCTCATCGGTATTGTCGAATGTCATCTGTTTTACCCCTTGGGCAGCAGCGTAACGAACATAAGAGTTTGTCTTGCATGGTTGGGCATAAATGATACGGTTGGGCTCGACCCCGGCCTTGAGAACTTGTTCAATCTCGGCTTTTGAAGCACAATCAAAACCGGTACCGAGCTCTGCTAAAAGTCGGATTACTTGGGGGTCTGGGTTACATTTCACAGCTATAAATAGGTTAGCATAGGTGATTTTATGAAAGTACCACCAGTACATACCGTAAAATGGCTTGACTCTAGGCAAGTTCTTCTTCCATCTCATGTGTTGCCTATAGACCTCGCCGAGATCAGCTACGAAGAAAGTATCTTCGTCGCCGGCCTCGCAGGACTCATGATCGATAGTATTGACTCTCTCCTTCAGAGCATTTCCGATGAGTTGTTTTGGTGTGTTCGCGCCATTGAGTTCAAGATAAGAACATGTCGATTTCTCGAAGTATGATTCAAGACTTGTAAGACTTGGTGTTTGGACAAGGGTTTCGATGGCGGAAGGTGACATATCCTCGAAAAGATTCAAGGGATATAAAAAGTTGATTGGTCTGGCGGAAAGATTAGCACATTGTATACAAACACGCATTGGACAGGGCAGTGGAAGCTTACTTTTTGATACTCTGAGGTTGTATTAGGGAGGTCTATATCGATCAGATCCTGAACTGATCTGACGAGGTCGGCTCGACTCTTCCTCTGCGAGAGGAAGAACCTCTAAACCCGTCCTATGCGGCAGCTGAGGAGTTTGGGACGGAATGGGGATATTGGGGGTTGAGTCGAACAGAGTGCGCTCAAGCTGCCTAGTTGACTGCAACAGAAGGAGGAGGGCGAGTGTTGAGGATGTGTCGGTTGGGTCGTAGCGAGTAATCTTGATCAGAAACTAGACTTGCGGCCGCGGGAGCCGTGGTGAATGTAGGTTGCCTTTGAAGGATCAAAGGCTTTGGTGATGTATTTGAAGACGATCGTAGATGACCTGCAAATGAGTGGTTAGCTGCTGGGTGTTCTATCTATGATTCGCGCACTCCAGGTAAACAGGCGGAGCCAAGCTTGGGCGAGGGCGAAGCGGACAGCGGGCAGGTTTCCCCCTCTGGCTCTCGCTCTCGCTAGCTTGCACCAGTCGACCAAAGACCACGGGAAGATGTGAACGTACCGAGATGGATTGAGTAGAGTGTGAGTCGCAGGAACACGTGGGTGTAGCTGGCGACAATTTATTCTGCTTCGTGGTGTTGAAGCTGTGAAAGGCGGTGGATGGGGATTTGGGATTTGTTGGCAGCGAGTGGAAGTGGAAGTGGAAGTGGTGGGGGGGATGAAGATTTTTGTGGCGGTCATACCGGCCTCAGTGCCTCACCTTGCGCTAGCGTCCTCGCCTGCGAGCCTGCTTTAGCCGGGAAGTTTGGAAGATCAGGGGTGGCCAATGGCTATTTCAGTTGTGGCCTAATGCAGCTGCCGTGAGTGGTTGGCAGAGCGAGAAAGTTTCGTCTAACGGCTTGCTGACTAATCATATAAAGCTTATATGTGCTTACTAAGCACCCAGCGAAGTCTTCACGGCATTCCAGAAGCTTGGAGGCCTGATTCAGATCTCCTCCCAAACTACCAACGTCACAGAGCCCAACTGCATTCATCAACGCGCAAAGCCCATATATCTACCACTATTACAACTGTCTGAGAGAGAGGAGTCGGTCGATCGGCTAGACTGGACTGGACTGAACATCTCTATTGTCACCTTCGAACGGGACCCAGTCCAGTATGCAGGTAGCATCACGAAAAGTCTAGCGCATTCTGCACGCGTCTGTTAATGCGCGCCAGCGAAAACATCCCCTAGTCAACGCCGTACGTACGAGGTGCCATCACCGCTAAATCTCGAGTGTTTTCTACTCTTCGACTCTGTTTGCAGTCATCTCTCTATGACCCAATCCGATGAAGGAAACAATAAACACAGACCATAGGACTGTGAGAGATCTGGCCATTGCTCTGCTCTGCTCTGCTTGCACCAACAGAGGACAATATGATCCAAGGCATAATCGAATCGGTTACACCACGCGAGCATTTTGGGGTAATTGACTTTGATTAAACTTCATACGAAGCTACTTACTTACCTTAGCATATTGGTTTTATATACCAGTATTGCAGAAACACTAGCACAAGATCTTCTCATAGGTGCATGGCAGAGCTTCTTCCCCGCCTCAAGTTTCCATTACCAAATCCCATCACTAAATCCAACGCGCTACGAACAGATACCCAACGTCCGCAGTCCCTCTCAATGGCTGTGCGATCACAAGTCATGTCCCCAAAGGGACTAGCGCAAGAATAAAACTCCACGTTTCCCAAAAGCCCGGCGCAAGCTGTGTGTTTTGAAGAGCGTATTCCGTCTTATTCAGACCTGTTGTTCTAAAGCTGTAGGATGGCGGACTAAAGATGAGAAGACATGCTTTTATTGTGAGGTCTAGATAGGTCTAGACACTGGGCCTATGGCCAATCTCGATATATATAAACCGATTAGAACCATCGAGTGGCAAAAAGAAACTATGGATTGAGCAACCTCATAACAAAAAGAAACCCTAAAATAACAACACATAACAAAATGTACTCGAGTAGCAAAAGCTTCTTCTCCAAAACTTTCAGTTCAAGCCTCATTGTTTCAACGAGCTCCGGAGGATTCAAATCAAGTCTTTCGGCTTCGTTGCACCGCCTGTGCGTCTTATTCGTGCTTCCGGGGAAGTCCTCCTGGATCTCGTTGATGGCTTTGATGTTCCGCTGTTTGAATTCGCTACCAGCTTCTAGCAATCGCTTCGTTGCTGAGCGTACGTCTTGAAGGATTTCGAATTCGTCTTTCTTGTTCATGGCCACGAGAGAGTACTCCATTAAAATTGAAATATCTTGGTCAAATTTGTCCTCATTCAAACGACTATTCGTCGTGCTATTAACTCGAGAGGTCGAGAGCTCTTCAAGAGACTTTTCGTATTTTTCCTCAAGGAGGCATTCCGGAATGGTCTGGCGACTGAGAACAGTCATGAGAGAAAAAAGGCGACAGGCTGAGGGGTGTTCATGTTGTATTCGTTCGTAGGAAACTGTCCAAGTAGCCGCCATGATATTTGCTTGCTTGGTTACCTCACCCAAAGTTTCAATGTATTTTTGAGGAGATATGCGTTGGTTAAGCCTGAGGTATGCGGCCGCACGAGTTATTGCAAGAGGAAGGTATTCGAGCTTCTCCACGAGATCTGCCGCCACTTCGCTCTGCGGTTCTAGCTGGGAGCCTAGTGATCGGGAAAGGAGTAAACTGGCGGATTCTTGATTCATCGGTTCAAGGTTGATGATCTCATTATCCTTGAACTTTAGATGATTGGCAATACCCAGATCCCTTGAAGTAACGAGAACCGAACCGTTGGGAGATTGAGGAATAAAATCTGCAATTGGTCGTTGGCCAGTAATACTGTGGTCATCGGCGGCGTCAAGTATGAGCAACCAAGGTCCATTTCTCTCATCGTAGAGCCAGGTTCTGGCCAATTCCAGTGTATTGGCTTTTGGGTTATCCCAACCTGGAAGTTTGGTTGCTTCGGCGATCTTACGGCACCCATATTCCAATGTAGTTCGGGTTAGTGTGTTGATCCAAAACACCCATGTCTTTGGGGATTTCTCCCGGATCAGGTGGGCGTATTCAAGAGCCAGCTGAGTTTTTCTGTATTCATTGTCAGCAAAATTCTAATAAGGATGCTTTCTACGAAGCGAAAAAGCTTACCCAATACCACCCATACCAACCAATGCCAGGCGAGAGGCAGGCATGGTCAATTTCTCCCCCACTTGTCGGAGAGTGCCTGTATCGACATAATCTGCATTACGATGATACGGAACCGTCGACGTCGGCAACGGTTTCGGCAAAGCTTTCACTATAACAAATCAGCTATTTCTCATCCCAAGAACCCTCATTCTCATTCTACTCACCCGGTGTAGACTTCGAGCACAAAATCGTGACATGATAATACGACAAAGTCTGCACATACCCCCTCACAACCGCCATCCTATTCCTAATCTTCGCATCATACCTCAAACTCCAAACGCCCTTCCAAATCCTCTTTCCCTTCCTGTTCCCCGGATCGGGTAGCACCTTGAGTAGGATCTTGTTCAGCGCCTCTATTTCACCCGCACACTCCCTGATTGGTGCTTCCAAAGCACATCTTACATCTTCTGTCAGGTTCTCTGCGGAAAGCACTTGAGCAGAGTTTTTAAGCGCTTCTAACAGGGCTGGCAATTCGACGGCAACATGACGCAGTGAGTCAGGTGCAGAGCTGGTAGCGGATGTGAAAGAGTGCACTCGATGGGCTAGTTTGATGCTGAATTCTGTTAGTTGGATGAAACTGGCTAAGATGCCGACGACTGCTATTGCCTCTGCCATGGCGAAATGCGGAATTAGAAATGAATTGTCAACTTGTCAAGATTTTCTGAGGTAAATCTACGGTTATGTTGATGGGTGTTTGTGATACCTACAGTATCGTCTCGGGGGGCAGTGCTGGACACCGCGTCTCGGTGAGGTATGCAGCTGGGCATCAGCCGATTGGGATGGCGTTTTCGCAAGGCGCATGCACCTGCTGATCTTTCGAAGGCTCGAGAAGGGAGGCTTCAGATACAGCGAGTTTCATTATTGATGAACGTCGAACGAAAGGACAGGGGATGAGCGTGTTGTAGAGGGGTCCGGGAGAGATACATGTTCACAGGCCTGGGAACTGTGTAACAGAAGATATAGATTCATTATTGGAGATGTGATTCGAGTTTCTTTGATAGAATTCTAGAGATTTGTGTGAAGGATGAAGGTGTGTGTCTGCTGTGTGTCTAGGTAGGTGGTGGGTGTGTACTTTTCTCTCTAGTCTCTTGAGATGGCAGGCGCGTTGGGTAGGACATACTCGTATCGAGGTGGGGCGGGTCCTCAAGACGACGATAAGAGAAACCATTTTTTCTACTATAAACACGCAGTGGACGTTAAGAGACGCAGCAAATTACTTTCTGCATGTTCTAACTATTTAGAATAATCCACAGGCATTTCAACCACTTATAATATCCAAATATCAAATGTTCCCGCGTTGATATCTGAGACGGCCATCCCAAAATATATAACCGAACCTCGAGAAAGACCTGGGAAAGTAGAATAACAGAATGATGAGACAGCTTCTCCACTCCTGTTTAAAGCCACTGCTAGCATAACAATGCTATCCAAATTTCTAGCCAAGGAGGAGCATGTTGAGTCCGGAGATGTAGATGAATTCTGAGGACTTCTATTGGTGCATTACACACCATGCATGAATAGAAATCAATCTATTCCTAATTTAACTGAGGCATTATAACGATATTAATAATAACTTAAAAGAATGTGCCCTGCTTAGTAACCAGAATGCAGCAGACTTCGTCCCAGACGTCCCAGACGTCAAAACATAGCGGAGTCTTTACCCTGTGTTCCGTAGAAATATCCCATGTCAACCCACTATGGTTTTCACGTTTATTATGCCGGAGACGAAAGCATAAGACTTTCCTGGGAATTCTTGGGAAGATCTGCTGTAGATCATTCAGAACCCTATGGGATTCCCCACATGTTGTTGGCATCGCTTTGGAGGATGGTACTCGTACTCGTGTAGATATCGCTTCGTCTCTCACTAGAATAGGTAGGTGGTGATGACTGTTTGTGACTGGAAAGGAATAGATGTGTAAGGTAGTTGGGGGTAGATTTGTGGGGTTTTCTTAGTCTTTTTTCAGAAGGTGAGATGACTTACATATGGTGGTAGACTTCCTTTCTCCGCGCGGGTTTTCTCCGTGTTGGGCTTCTTCGAGTTGGAATTGAGTTTGAGAAGGTTTGCAGTTAATCCTTGTGATACGAATCGGGAATTAAAGTGACCAGTCGTGGAGTCAGCTGCAGAAGTTTCCCAGTTCAGTCATGAAATGAGGTCGGAGTTGCTATTGCTCGCTGTCCCTTGCATATTTTGGGATTGATCGTAGAAGCCGGACCGGCCGAAAGGCATCGTTCTCATGATTTCTCAATCAAACTCTAGAAGTTTGCTAATCGGGACTTTTATACGGAGTACTGCGATTGAAGTTTTCCCATGAATCAACGTCAAACAATGCAAGCAAAGTGAGCCTTACATTGATCATCCTGCGGCGTAATTCTCATCTTCCTCCCACCCCACACTCTGATTGGCTCGCCCCGGGAATTTCCCAGCCTCCCACCAACCAGCGACGAGCATCGTAACCGTCTTCCCTCCCACCAGGATCTGCGAGGCAAGGATAAAAAAAGTCTCCGCCGCCGCCGCAGGTTCCGTACGATCCCATAAGCATGCCATCCACATGTCATCCACATCCAGAACAACGAAGATCCCCATGATGGAGGAAAAGCAAAACTCTACCATTGTAGGACCAGGGCAAACGATTGGATCTCCTTGATCTGGGAAATTTCGCGACGTGCAACAGATTCCCGACTTTTGGGAAGCCGGCCTTGCGATTGGAGAGGCGTCGGGTGCCTGCATGGGCGCGGTTGGTGGACGGGAAGTTCCTGGGGCGAGTGGTGAAGGGAAGCGCCTGTGAGATGGACTTTGGGCATTGGCGATTGCAGGAGTGAGGGTGGACGATTCGGCGTGTTCGTATTTTCGGATGGGATGGGAATATGGATGGGTTGCATTGCGGCGAGTTGGAAAGTTGGGACGGCGCTAAGAGGTGGTCTCGATTGGAGGGAGGAAGGAATTATCAGACGAGAGAAGCGAACTCGCTAAGTATACCTATATTGTTACGGTCTAGAACGGTATCTAGCACACTCCTGACAAGATTATTGGGTTTTGTGTAGTTTCGTCAGAGAAAGGGAGATGTTCAATATTTAGATGTCATGTTACACTCACCTCACCATCCTCTCTGTTGCTGTGACCTACTCCAAAGAAACCACAGTTACTTTTTTCATTCCACTTCACACGCCTCAGAACCCCCATAAGTTGACGAGTCAAATAATCCCGAAAATTAATTACTTCGAAAACAGACTTTCATTTAATCCTCAAACCCACTGGATTCTCATTCCATCCTTCCGCGGATTACTCACAATACACTGGCGCTCTCTTCCTATCTTCATTATCCCCCAAAATTCATTCTCTTACGTCTAGATCAAGAGAGCTATCTGACTCATTGACCAGCGCCCACCTACCTTCCCGCGGGTGTTTGTTGCGCGCGGTTATTCGTTCTCGTTTAGTACTCGTAAGTAGATGGAGAAAGTTCTTTCACAGGGAGGACCTTACCGGGTAACTTCTGGGAATTCCCTTCAAATTTTTCAATCCCCAAGACTTCTTTTCTCCAGCCTCTTCTACAACATCGCGTGGACAATCTTGTCTTGTCATCTGGGAAAACAGGATCTCTGTTATGAGAGAACATCGTGAAGTGAATTGTAAGAGTTAAGCGAGTTAACTTGACTTCCAATTTCTCAGTGGAAATCAGACTTGTAGACTATCCATACACAACAACATCGATAAAACAAAGGGAGAGCAGGGATCTTTTACATCTCTTAACGTCCATTGATTCAAATTCGAAAGTCTACCGCAAAGAAGATGCTGTAGGTAGAACGCTGTAATATCATCGAATCCCACATCTATTGCACGCCAGTAAGCCTGTTTCTTATACTAATCTAACACAAACCAGCTGTATTGCGTTGCATCTAGAAAATTTCTTTCCATAAACTCTCTTCTGTCACCTCAGTACCAAATTATACATTGTCCAATCAATATCCTGATGGGCACTTTAGCTGCGTTAGTATCAATTGCACAACTGGACCACAACCACGTCAAATAACTTCCTAGCTATTTATGCTCCATGTAAGAAAGATAGAAACACATATCTTATAACACTACAACATGACACCCAACTACGTCGTAGTCCACCGAACAAGCAGGAATAAAGCAGCTCATCTTGTAGTAAAATTATACTCACCACCCTCTCGAATTCCTCTTCACACATCCATTCATTTCCCACAAAATCCCAATATCAAAAGCCTAAAAGAAAATATTAAAATATATACATATATATATATATAAATACAGCAAGATTCATCAAAGCTATCAAAGCTATCAATGCAACACTCATACAAATCCACAGCCCAGAACAGAGAGAGAAACTTCAAACGATATGATACAACGAGATAATCTTTGCATCAGACATATACTTACATCAAGAAACTCACGGATAAGTACAATAAAAATATCTCATTTCCTCCTCACAATAGACTCGAAGAGATATCTCTTCCAAGAAAAACGGAAATAGAAACCAAGAATTTTGTGTTCATCTAGGAGATAATAATCTCCTATCTATTTTTTTTTGGCGGGCCGTTTTTGCTAGCAACTTCTTGTTCTCGAATCGAAGTAGCTTAGCATAAAACAATTACGGGGAAGTTGATGGTAGATATATGGAAAACTATCCTTTGTAGAGGTTAGTGGGAGTTCTGATGTTGGTGGTGGGCTTGTGGATTTGTCCTGTTATTGACCGAGCTGAGGTATGTGATCATACGATCATGTACTGTACTCGCTTTTCCCGCAAGATTTAAGAGACTATGGCGTGAATGATAAACTATAGACTTGATATATTAGACTTACCCGCTAGCCTGCCATATAAGAAGGCGTGTTTATTTTGTTAATTACGATCTAATCTCTTTACGAGGCTACTGGAAGCCGCCAACTGCAACTATAAACCATAAACACCACATACGATTACCAAAAAAATCATTCAACACCAAAAACCTCATCCACATTTCACATTTCATTTTCAAACAAACTCTCTTCAAATTTCTCAAAAAGAACGAAAAGGAAAAAAAGAAGAAAAGAATAGCTAGATTAGGAAAAGAAACCCGGACCCAAAAATCCACTTCACTCCAGCCACCAGCAGCCCCACATACAAGACAAGCCCGAACGAACCCCGCATGTTCTCCGACCACGACCTCGCATGGAGGGGTCGAAGCTGCCTTAACGTCATACAAAAAACCCCCCCTCACCTCACCTCACAACCAAAACCATCACCACCACCAACTCTCCCTCATCCCATCCCACCAAACATCCCCCCCCCAAAAATGGCCTTCGAAACCCAAGCAACCATCCCCTCCTTCGGAGGGAAACTGCTGAAACTCACCCACGAAGACAGCAGCGTCGGCTGCACCATGGCCCTGAACCTGTACCTCCCACCACAGGCCTTCGTAAAGGACGCGAGCAAGATCCCGGTGCTGATTTATCTGTCGGGATTAACGTGTACGGGGGATAACTGCGCGGAGAAGGGATTCTTCCAAGCGGCCGCGAGTGGGAGGGGGATTGCGGTTGTGTATCCTGATACGAGTCCTCGTTCGTTGACTCTTTTTTCTCTCTCTTTCTTTGCTTTGCTTGATGTGGATTTTGGTTTGTGGGGTTTATTGGGCGTGAGGGTGGGGGATGGGAAGGGATGGGGAGTGAGAGATGGAGATGGAAGAGAGGGATTCTTTACGAGTTTACAGATTTACCAACTTACTAACCCAAAAACACAGGAGGCCTAACCATCCCAGGCTCCGAAACATCCTGGGACTTCGGCACAGGAGCCAGTTTCTACCTAAACGCCACAACCCCCCTCTACACCCCAAACTACCAGATGTACAGCTACATCACCACCTCCCTCCCCTCCGCCCTCTTCTCCTCCTTCCCGGTCCTCGATCCAACCCGCGTCTCCATAACAGGCCACTCCATGGGCGGCCACGGGGCTCTCACACTATTCCTCAAGAACCCGGGGAAGTACAAGTCCGTCTCAGCGTTCGCGCCGATCTGCAACCCGAGCCAGTGTCCGTGGGGCGAGAAGGCGTTCACGGGGTATCTGGGGGAGGATAGGGAGAGTTGGAAGGGGAGTGATGCGACGGAGTTGGTGAAGGGGTGGGAGGGAACGCTGGATGTGTTAATTGACGTTGGGACGGGGGATGGGTTTTATAAGCAGGGACAGTTGTTGCCGGAGAATTTTGTGGAGGCGGCGAAGGGGAAGGGGGTTGAGGGGGTGGTGGTTAGGTATCAAGATGTATGTGATTTCTTTTTTTGGCTTTTTAATGGGAGATGGTTGGTGGAGGGACTTTGCTAATCAGGGGCAGGGATACGATCACTCGTACTTTTTCATCTCGACTTTTGCCAGGGATCACGTTGAGCATGCGGCCAAGTATCTGTTTGCATAGTAAGGTATTCCTTCTTTTCTCAGTCCAAATACCGTCAAAACTGACTCTTACAGAAGCGACAAACTTCCAAAAGAAAAACTTTGGCAGCTAAAACTATAAGCTATAATAATAGGTGACTCGATCTGTTGATAGTACATGAACCTGCTCAGTGCTGCTCAAATAATGTAAACACCATCATAAATCTTCAGTGGATGAGGGCCTGTTTCCTCTCTTCCGTTTCCTCTTTCGCTTCCTCTACCCTAAGGTAACCTTAAATCTCTTGCAGCTTACAAATGTTGGTCGGATCTTTCTCTCTCCCTCTCTCTTTTTCTCGCTCGCGCGCGTGACGGGTATCTCTTGCAAGCAGTCCAATCCTGTCTCAAAGCCTAGCAGTTCCAATGCTACTCGACAACAAAATACGCGGCTCCGCGGTACCAAAAATCATAGCCTCATAACTTCGTCTCGCGGCATGCCACATTTCTTATACCTCGATAGTGGTCTTCCTGTCATTTCCAGATCAATAGTCGAAATTTTTTCAACTGATCCTTCTATCAACCATCATATTCGGTCCATCATGATGCATCCGGGTTCTCTCCCCTAACCTTATCCTCATCTCATTTTCCGCTTCTCTCTTGATTCTGTAAAAAGCCAGTTTTTCGAAGCGGCTCAGCCCTTTCCACCAGTGTCTTCCAGCTTCGTGTTCACTGATTCTTTCCAATAGATCAACAACTTTGATGCGTACATCTTGGTCCTTATGGAAAAGACCTAGGGCAATGTAGAATAGGCCAGCATGTGCTTCTGGAGCAACTGTAAGAAGTTGACAAATTTCATCGTATGAATGTGTGTATTTGGAGAGGGCGATATAGATTTCTCGACTTGCAGAGACACTTAATTTGGTCCGTTGAAGTTTATCATGCAAATGATGTAGATCAAGCGACTTGAGAGGCCGGGAGTTGTACAGCTGGGCGAGGTCCTGTCATAATGTCAGTAACAAATTACGTAAAGGAAGTTCCTCAATCAACGTACCTGTTTGAAACTGTAATAACTTCTGGTATTTCTCCAGCCTTCAATTCGGTTCACACCGCCAGCCATCTCTTTTAGCCTTGACGCATCATCAGCCCACACGTATCCGTGTCCACTGATATTGACGTTTCCTGGTTCCACTTCTTCGACTCCAATATACAACGCACTAGCCCCATACAAACCCTCTTCAAACGCAGCCGAGATACGAGTAAACTTCTCCACCCAGTCTCGCCACTTTGTGCGGATGACTCCCTCCCCATGACGGGCGGCTATGCTACGTAAAACATCCAGTATGAAAGCTTGATCGCCAGTTGGATCACCTACTACTGGCATGTTTGTCGAAGCTGCGTTGGCAACATTCGCGTAAGCCGGGTTTTGTTGCATGAAATTGGCCATACCCTCTGTTAACGGAGCCGGTTCAATCCTACTACTAATCTTCATACGACCAGTGGGCAAATCACAAAGAACATCCCACCATTCAGGGTGATTCTCAAACGTTGGGTTTGTGACTCCTGCAATAAACCCAGGAACCTTCAGAAGATCGTCGATTTTACTGAGATCAGTATAAGGGAAAGCATGTCGTGTGAAACCGCGAAGGATACCCCCTGATGCCAACGCACAAGCTGCTAGTACTGCCTCTGCAACTTCACCAGAAGGTCTGTTATGACCGAGAAATATTACACGCTTTTGCGTCAACATTGCGTTGACTAATACAATGATAGGATGGGTACTGGCTCCGCTAGTAGTAAGATGCCCGTGAAGTGCAAAAGGTTGAGGCGATTTTGCGTGTGGTTCAGCAAAAGTTTGAATGAGTTTAATAAGTGAGAAGTCCCCAACTGTTTCGGGAGAGACCGCAACAGGTACCTTGATAGGAATTGGAATCCCATTATACATCACCTTGGTCTCAAATTCGTGGGTATCTCGAGGAACAGAGTACTGAGAATGCGCCACAACATGCGCTTTGGTACCGTTTCGTGTAAGATCCATTCGACGTTCTGGGCTCTCTGCCAGTATGTCATCTGGGGCCTCGCCTCTATCCTCAGCCATCCGCATTTGAATCATTTGCTCAAATTTCTCCACGAAAAGATCCTTGTTGTCTGAGGATTGAAGGAGGTATCTCTCCAAAACACTTAATCTGGGCATCAGTGACAAATCCATAGTGTTGACCGCATCGTACAGCAACGCCAGCGTCGCTGGATGTGGGGACTTGAAATATTCTTCGAGAGCTAGCAGTAACAAGGGCTGATCTGTCGTCAGCAGGGTTATTAGGTTTCAACCCATACCAACTCACCTTATATATATGTAAAAATGGATGTCTCGTGCATATTGCCATTGCCTTGACTACTGCTCCTCGTTTGGCCGTTGGGTCCTGTTTTGTATTTACCAAATTCAAAACATAGATCAAAGGAGGCCCTTCGCCACCCTCGGGCTCACTGTCGGAATCGTCTGCTGTGGTATCTCCATCTAGTTCTTCGTTCTCCTCATCGTCCAGCGAATGTTCGTCCTCCGGTCCTAGCCGTCCCGCGGCACGATCCTTCCTCCTTTGCCTCCTCTTGCGCCGTTCGGCTCTCAATTCGGCCTCCTCCTCTTCCTGGCTGGTGTCTTTGTGTAGAAAGAATATGGTCCAATCCTGATTTCGAACATGCGCTTGATCTGGCAGCATCAGCTCCGCCAACATGTGCTCATCGCCGGTGATCGCCACAGGGTATTGATGCTCCATGATCGGCCCCTTATCGATATCGAATGAAGCTACCAAAATGTACTCGACATGATTCTCTCCCTCCCCTCGCGGGTACTGCGACCGCAACTTTCTCCGTGGATGCGCATCTGGGTTGTACTTGCGCGGCGCCGACAGCGAAGAATGTTGGGAGGAGATGCCGCTGGAAGGGGTTTTGGAGGTGGAACCCGTATCAGAGGTCCGATTGGCGTCCATGATGGGGGGATTGGGGGAGCGAGAGAGGCCTCTGGAATGTCGTGACATGGCCGAAGGTGAGCGAGAGGAGGGAAAGGAGGAGAGGGAGGAGCGCTGCATTGTCCTGGTGTTGAGCCAGAGACTGGCTGGTGCGGTGCTGGGTCGTCGTCTGGGTGAATGGGGACACCAGGGGAGGTCTGAGAGTTGCTACATGTACAGTAAAGTTCCGGCGGCAATGATGCTGGTCTGGCGAGTAGCCGGCGATCATACGGAGGCGAGGGAGGCACCTACGCCGAGGCTCGGAGGCCCGGAGGCTCGGGAGGAGTTACTGGCTACTTACTCGGTACCACTGTGCTAGTTTTCGGCTAGCCTATCAGAGCCGAGCATCCGTCGACTAAGAACCACCCATGATTCCGTAGACGAGACTACTACCCAGGGGCGAAAAGGAGGGGCTCTGTCTCTGTGTACGTACTTGTACGCTGAATACAGTGACACGCATGGCCATTCCAACCCAGACACCCAGATTATTCAGCTGATTGTTTTGCGCGGCAAGCGGCACCCGAAGAGGGAGTTGTCAACTACGGTGAGGCCCTCTCCGTCTTACCCAGACTCCCAGTACTCATCTCGTACCCCCACGAATGAGCCCCCACCCCCA